AATCTAAGTTCTACCACGTGGCTCATGGTTTGTTACCTCACTTTCTACGGTCCTGTTGCTTCTGCATCTGGCTTGTGACTCCTCCAATTCTACCCTTCTTCCCAGTGTCCTTAGTCTGGTTTTTCCATCTAACCTTATCCCGTCCAGCTATTGGCCAGCCAGATTCTTTATTAAACCAATTGCAGCATAATTTACACAGTACACAGAGGATTATTCTACAGCATATTTATGTCTTAAAATACATGCCAGAAAAATCCATATCTATCACCTAAACTTTTCTTGCAAGAATATTTAAATGTTGTGCTGTGTTCCTTCACTACAAACAGCTAATTCACTAAGATGGATGATGTATGTCATGACTACTTTAGTGATGTAGTGTGTATATCAATAAATTATATTTGAGACTATTAGGTTAATGTGGGTTTTTTAATTCAATACCTAGATACTTACTAATATTGGGCTATTTTGTTCTTTGAAGATTTCATATATGAGTAAAATATATCTTGATCATATCTACTCCCTCACTTCTTCCCTACAACTACCTCCATCACTCATCACATCTCCCTCCCAACTCCATACCCTCCTTAACTGGGGAGTAGTTAAAATTTAAACTTTTAAATTACTATGGAAGGTAAGCTAGAAGTGAAATAATGTTGATAAATGTTTTTGGCTTTTTTTGTTGTTTTTTTTTTTGTTTGTTTGTTTGTTTTTGTTTTTTTAAGATACCTTCACTGAGAATAGAAGGTACGGTGTTCCATGTGTTTGATAAGGTCAAAGTGAAAATAACATTAGATTCATCAAACCTTCAACATCAGAAAATCCGCATGGCCCTTGTGGAACCACAGGTAAGAAAGACAAAGCTTAATTTAATGGTGTGGGAAAACTAACATCTAGTTGTTAAGATCTTAGGTATCCAGGTATCGGCATTGGATTTCAGGCATCAGAAATTCTAGAGATCCTTAATGCCAGACCATTCAGTTCTCTTGCTTATTCTTTACTCTAGTTTTATAGTACATAAGTTAACTGTAGGTAGTTCACCTAAGATCCTGGTTTTTAACCTTTTTTTGGCTTTTGATGCTTGCTGTCTGCTGCAACATAAGTCCACTGGGGTACATTGGACACAAGGAAGACTTGTTACATTACAGACACACCGCCCAGGTTGAATGAAGCTTCTCAGTTTCCTTGCTATGTAGACAAGGCTAGCCTTGGATTTGCTGAGATTGCAGTTGTACATCTGTCCCCTCTGCAAAGCTTCTCAAAGAGACCACTGGCTTAATTCTGCAGAACTACAGTTAGTTTGTGTGAATAACTGTGTATGGTACAACCTTCTGTCTGCAGCCCCTCATGGAAAATCTGTTTAAAAGTGGTAGTGGTAGAGGGAAGGGTGAGGTAAAAATTTCTTCCCTGATGCTTCTAATCACTTTCTTTTTCCCATCTGTCCTGTTTTAGATACCAGGAATAAATATTCCTCCTGATGTTTCAGACATGGATCTCAATGGGCCAGGGGGGAAGAAGAGGAAACTTGACAAGTAGCTACACGCAACAGAGGACTTCAAAGACTGATTACCTTTGAGCACAACAACAAAATTGAAAGCATTCTTACAAGCTCATGTGCATGATAGTTACTTTTAAGTACATTTCAATAATTTTAAGAAATGTGCATTTTTATTGAGTTGCTGCCAGAATCTATCTTTTACCGTGCTTCTGCAACAACAAAAATTATACAGAAAAATTCATTTGAATATCCATCACTCAAATGGTAACAGAATAGCAACTTCAGGGATCTGTGATGATCATTTAAATGGAGTACTCATCTGCTCATTGAAGAGCAGGTTAATTTTTATATAAGTACTTTAACAGGAAAAACGTGTCAATTTCTGAGGAAAATTAACCTTTTACAAGCAAAGAAGCTACCTTTCTAAGTCTTAAGCTATGAGTGTTTGTCATTTGGTCGTTTTATCACTCATTTGTCTACTTACAACACTTCACATACATTTTAGAAAGCCTCCTGTGCTTGACTAGTGGTCCTCAGACACTTGTGAATGTTTCTGGATTATGGCAAAAAAAAAAAAAAAAAAGAACTCAGGTGTCTTGACCTGATTGGGAACATTGTGAGTTTTGTTACTAACAGGCACTAAATTTAGTCATCATTATCATTATCCTTAATGTTTGTTCATAGTTTCTCCCAAACATGGTATTTTATAGCTCAGGAAGAGTAAAAATGGGAATGTCTGCTTTCTTACAAAAAAACAGATAACTTTTTAATTTTAGTTATATCTAATTATACAAGAGAGGAGGAGGGCATATATTAAAGACATTAAAAGGAACAGATGAAGTCTTATTTGGTGGTACCAGATTGACTTACTTACCTTGCAAATTCCAGATGAATGATTACATTGGGGAAAATTTAACATTTCACTTTGTTTAGTCAGTTTCCAGTCAAGAAAACTACTTCTGTATGGTAAACACAGGCTGACAAGTCCCCATGTATACATATGATGTGGCTTACAACTATAGGCTTTATGAACATGTGGACGTTCAGTATTGTTGATTTTTCCAATTTCCTATTACAGCGGAAAACATATGTTCAGGCAGAACTAGGTTGCACAGAAAGCAGACAGCCTTAAATAGCATTTGGTCCAAATAAAATGGATCAGTGACTGATAGAGCAAAACACAGCAAGCCTTGGTTGTAAAAGGACACAGCATTTCAGACTGTTTGCTGAACTACAGCACAGCTCTGCTGTAATTGTAGTTTATAAGCAGCCAAACAATATGTAAACAGGCATGGTTATGCTCTTGGGAAAAAAAAAAAAAAAAAAAAAAGCAATTTTCCAAAGAAACAAGCTTCCATTCTACATATAAGAGATATTATATAAATATATATTACTTTTGAGCATTACCCACCAGTCACTCAGGTTCTTTTGCTTTGAATTTGGTATGTAGTTCAGTGGTATAATGATTGTCTAGTATGTACAAGGCCTTGGATTTGATCAGACTACTGCAAAACACAAGACAAAGACTGCCAGGCTCTGGAAAGATGGCTTGACAGTTAAGAGCAAGCACTGGCGGCTTTTCCTGACGACCTGGGTTTGATTTCAGTGCCCACATGGTGGTTCTTGGCCATCTGTAACTCCAGTCCCAGGGGGTCCTCCTGGCCTCCAGCACTCATACAAACCTGAGTACATGCAAGAACAAAGTTTAAAACATTAAAAACTATTTGCCATAGTTTGCCTACAGTAGAGGAAAATGGAGTCGACTTGGTAATAGAAAGCCAGTTACCTCTGTGTTTGTGCACAATGCGTGTTCTTGCTATGGGCACTGGTTAAGACCAGAGTTGGACATTGGATGTCTTCTCAGTTGTTTCTCCACGGGGTCTTTCACTGAACTTTGGGAGCTTGTCACCTTGAGCTATGCTGGCTATCATCCAGTTTCCACCCCAAATCTGGGGTCACAGCCATATGCTGCCATGCTTAGCACTCATGTAGCTTAGGTTTTCAAGTGTGTACAGCAAGCAGTTTACCTATAGAGCAGCCCCCATTGTCTGCTACCATTCTAAATGTGATTTTAGTAAGTACAAGCTTTTATCTCAGTTGAACAAATTTGATTTAAAAGAAAAACTCCCAAGGCCTCTTCTTTGAAGCTTTAAAGTGTTTTCTCTGGTGCTAGTTACGAAGCTAAGTAGGTAACAGAGAACCTGGTCGGCCTCCCAGTGCCCAGGCTTCGCATCTCCAGATAAAAGATCAAAGTACTCGTGGAGAAAACGCATCTGTGCTTTAATACTGTTAGACATTTTCTTATTGGTCAGTATTCTCAAGATAATACAACTATTTTCATTGTATTTGAGAGGATCTTAAGTATATAAAAAGATGTGCATACCTTACATGCAAAGATTATGTCATTTAATGAGGGACAGTAGCATCTTTTTTTTTTTTTAAATCCATGGAAGGTCCTGGAACTAGTTCCCCCAGGATACTGAGGATGAATGGATTGCAGATAAAACCCAAACAGCACACACCTTTAATCCTCACAGTCTAGAGACTAAAGTAAGACTGAAAGTTCAGGGCCAGCCTAGACTACGTTGTGAAACTGTCTCAAACGGAAGGAGCCCCTTCAAGACTCCCATTTAACATGAAACTCAGATCAAGCATTGAAACGAATTATTTTAGTTAATGGTTATTTTAAAAACTGGAAGGTAGCCAGGGAGGCGATAATCTTAAGACTCAGAACTATAGATAATAGCTAGTCTTCAGATAAAACATTAAATTGGCCAGTCAACTTCACAACATTGGCTATTGTTGGGATAGGCAGACACAATCGTGTGTGTGTAAGCAAGCATACAAGGATGAAAATGACATAATTACACATTTATTTTCTAGGTCTAATAATCATTTTGAATGCATCAGTTTTTATGAAATAAGCAAATATAAAAATAGTCTTTTGATATTTCCAAATGCATATCTTTTTCTAATACAGATTTTTAAAAATGTATTCTTATTTAGCTTTTGTTTCTTCATGGTTATAAGCCCAAAAGGAATTAATTCCAGTGTTCCTGATAATTCTGATTCTCCGGTGTTCTGTTCTTCTCCCTAGCCAAGACTGAGCCCTAAGGGACACCCTAGGAATGGTGGTACATATACTACTGTGGCATCACATACTCACCCTCACAGATGGCAGTGTACAGGACAGTGCTAGTGTTTACACTCACTAGAGTATTAAAAACTAAGTCATTTCCCCACAGAAATAAATCTTAGAGAGTCCATTTCATTTCCTTTACCTCTTCATTAAGTTTTATAGTTGAAAATTTCTTTCACACAGTTTTCATGTGAAAGCAAACAGTGCATTCACTTTTAACATTTTTATCAAATTCTAAGATTTGCTAAATTCAGAACTATCATTCCAAGTCTTAACAAGTGGTTCAATGATACTGTAGGAGAAAACCATCAGCTGGTCCTAAGTTTTTGTTAAACAAACCACTCAAAGAAAATACAAAAATATTTATTGGTTAAAAAAATAAGGTTGTAATTTAATAACGTGGAGCTTCTGTTCCTGTCAGTGATTTCCTTTGCGGACTGACTTCACATTACAGAGGGAGCTAGGCACCATCGTGGTAGATCGTGTGTAAACCCCAGGGGCTACTGAGTGCTATGCTGGTCTTCAGTCTTGAGACTATGGGCTGCTGCACTGAGATGCCTTTGCAGTTTTCACCCAGCACCTCTGCACTGTGTGGTCGTGCTGTGAGAAAGAAGAAAATACCTTGTTTTCAGTTTAGGACATTCAAAAGTGCAACAATGATGTGAACTATTTTTTAAAATCTAAATGTTGATTTCCTGGTTCAGAAGGGCTAGTAAAGATAAGAATTTTTGTTTGGGATGTTCTGTTTCTTGTGTTCATTTTTCCTTTTTTAGTAGTGCTGGGACTGAACCAGGATATTGGGTATGCTAGTAATCAAGTGTTGTACTGAGCAATAGACTTAGCCCAGAAGTTAGTATTTTAATATTGTTTAAAAGAAGCCTTTTAGCTTAGGTTTTGAGGAATAAAAGAAATGAGCTGGATTATCAGAATCAGCTTTGTTAAAGATACTAATACTAGAAGAGACTTGTTTTGATATTACATGTAATAAGGGAAAATATGGTTGATTTCTTAATGAACTTGGCAACAGGTTTTGTTGCAGTTAATGCTTATAGGTATAATAATAAACTAGTAAGAGACTGTCCTGTCTAGTTCCTAAGATGATGGGTTTCAAATATGAATGTGTAGTTGTAACCATCATATCAAGGTTCATAAAATGCTTTTATCAGTATGCTATATTAGTACAAATTCTTGACATACTAGAAATACATTTATTTTCCTTAGAATAATGAAAACCTTTGATGGCTAATAAATTTTAAGAAATCCTTCAGGAAAGAATAGGAGAGGATTAATACTTTCCAAGTGCATGATAAACAACAGTGCTAATACTGAGACCGTTATTTTATATGACTACTTACTTATACACGAAATCTTTTAAGTGCTTTGAACCTGATATGTAATCAGTAATACTATTTTCCTCTCTAATAGTAATTATTTTTATATTTAGCTCTGAACTTTAGCTTTGAAATTTTTCAAAGACAGAAAAACCAATTTTAGAGGCAAAAGTTTCTGCCTTTGCTGTTTCCATTTTGGACATAACTTTCCATGGTTAGAGAAGAGCTGGTTCTCCTTCTCCAACCATTCTCTCCCATGGGAGCGTGAGGAACTCTTGAGTGTCTGCTTTTAAAACATCTACTTAATAACAGGACAAGACGGGGGCATAAGCAAGACAAGCTATAGAGAACGGTGGAAAGACAGGTTGAAAAAGTCAAAAAGATGACAGTCTATATTCTTATCAACTTGTTTGCTCCATACCTTTATATTACAAACTTGAGCTTTCATTTCCACTTCAAAGGACTGTGTGACATTTTCTTTGCAGTAGCTTTCTGTCCCAGCAATATCAGTGATATTGCTTCCACACGTCTGTGTGTTGTAGCCACTGTCCATCTGGGAGGAATAAAAAACACTGCAAACTCTTTCATTTTTCTAATTTACACGAAATATTGTAAGAAATGTAAAGGCTAAGAGAGCATATAGTATAATTCACTACATCTGAACAACAGAATAATCATAATGAATAAATTCAATACATAATCATAAAAGCTCTACACAAAATTGCTTCTCACTGTAATACTTTATAAAATACATTACATGGGAAGGAACTGTAATTCCTCTAGCATCAGTAGACAAGTCACCAAGTGCTTTTCTGCTCTTCTGGGATCATGTCCAAAATGAAAATAAAAACAAAAATCAGTTTCCTTATCTCAAAATTGCTTGCTTGTATAGTTTCTAAATGCTATTTGGAGTATTCAAAAATAATACAAAATAAAGCCTGCATAATGCTCATACCCAGTTCATTATGGTACATATGTAAAAAGTTGTTATAAAACATACTGGCTTGCCCCAAAAGAGTAAATGACTTGTACACTTTTAAGATGGTAGATAAACCCCTCTTATCATGGAGGATATCTTCCAAGACATTCCAGGTATTGCCTCAAACTACTTGTGATACCAAACCCTATGTCTACTATTTTGTCCTACCTACACATACCTGTGGTAAGATTTAGCTTACAAATTAGGCACAGTAAAAGTTCTACTTGGTTTTCTAACACTGGCTAACCCAGTGTTGCTTCAAATTCACAACTGTGTCTCAGACTCAAGTGCTGGGATTACAGGCATGTACCACTATGCCCAATTAATCTATACATATGTTTACAAAAGTTATGCAATGTGGTGTCAAAAACTTTACTGTATTTTTTGCACTTTTAAGAATTCTCTGGCTTTTTACATATACAAATGGCTAAAATTATGTTACTGCTTTTAGTCAATATTAAGTTTTTTAAAAACTCTTTGAATACAAGTAACATGTTAACTTAGTGGGCAGCTTGATAACTGCAATGGCTGCTGTGTGAATAGGAAATAGTATAGACTGTGGGAACATTAGTCAAAAAGGTTTTTTGACATCCTAGTGAGGGTCAGTTCAAGATATTATGATTCAACAGGGCGTTGGTGGCACACTCCTTTAGTCCCAGCACTCGGGAGGCAGAGGCGTGAGGATCTCTGTGAGTTCGAGTGGGTTCCAGAACAGGCTCCAAAACAATACAGAGAAACCCTGTCTCAAAAAAACCCAAAAAGATACTATGATGCTCAAATAGCATGGATTTTGAAGCAAACGTTTTTTTTTAAATGTAAATTTTGGACCACAGGTATGTGCTGTAACAAGCAATTACTGAATGAAAATGCTTGGTCCTCTGTGGCACTGTAATGCCATTTTTATTTTGTCCTTTCAACATCTCTGTACAAGTAAGGAAGTGAAGGTTCAGAAAGGTCAACTCAGTGTCATATAGTAATGAGATGAAGATCAGAGGCTCCAGTTAAAGTTTTTTAACTTCACAAGAGCCATTTATTTACAATAATGCTGAGTACCAACACCCCCATACACAACACACACACAGCACATACATACACCACACACACACACACAGTACACACATACACCACACACACATACACACAGTACACACATACACCACACACACAGCACACACAGACACACCACACACACACATACACACAGCACACACATACACCACACACACACAGCACACACATACACCACACACACACACAGACACACAGCATACACATAAAGACACACATACACCACATACACACACACAGTACACACATATATAGACACACACACACATACCACACACACAAAACACATACAAAGACACACACCACACACACAAACAACACACATACTCATACCGCACATACACACACACACACACACAGCACTGGCCTAGTCCTTTAACTTTTCTGTTACCATTCAATAGATACTCGATAAGAAATGTAAATATCAGGTTGCTAAAAGAGTCTGCCAATTACTCTTCATTCTGATATAACTGCCAAATAACTGGCTCATGACTTGGTTCTAATACAACTGTATGAAGGCAAAAGTAACCCAATAGTACAGGAGAGAGCAATGTGCACAGAGAACCTGTCCTATCTTATAGTAAGAGAATTAATGGCCTTGCACCCATATGACAATTCACAGCCATTGGAATTGGAGTACCCTTGTGTACCAGGAAAAGATCCCACTTAGAAAGAAGGGTAAGCGGCAATGTTTGTAGAAGATTGTGCATTAAAAGTTTCACCAATAACTGAAAATAGTCAAAGTAATACCTTTCAGTTCTAAAGGGTAATTATGTCTAAGCTAAAATAGCCATCACATCACCAGGAACACACTTCTTGAAAAAACACATTCTTCCTTAGCCACCAGAAAATGTGTTCCAGGAAAAATGAGAAGTAATCCAGAAAAGAACACAGAAAACAGGTGTGGTAAGGAAATTCACAAGGTGAGGACAAAGTGAGCTGGGATGACAGCCATTCACCACGGACAAAGCCAATGACCTAAGTCAAAAGGCTTGGAGAAAGCACTGTTGTATCTGAACACTTGATACAATGTATACAAACGTATCAAACTAAAAGACAATCGAAAGGATAAAGGAGACCTACATTTTAGCTCAATGTAAGGAGGGAAAGTATGACAGTCTTGGAAAGGAAGGAAGTACAATACCCATGCAGAAATTAGGTGATGAGTTCTTGACTACAGTTACAGGACAACATAACCTTCCAACAGGTAGTTCTACATGACTAATATACACTTCAACAAAACACGTTTTGAAATTCCTCTATAAAAAGCTTGCTACAGGAAAAATGAAAATGAGCGGAAAAAAAGTTAACAATACCTTTAGAGTCAAACTTGACTAGTGTGCTTAGGATACCAAATTAAAATATGTAAGCTAAAAGAGACTGTAATATTTTCTAAAACTAAGAATGCAGAAGCCAGGAGAGGTACTACAGTCATAAAAATCAGCAAACATGTATGAAGATGCCATAATGCAGAGCTGCTGGTGGCAATACTGGTTCTGTCCTTTACTTGCTTTATAAACTTCAGCTTTCTTAGAAAACTGGAAATGTACAATTACATGCAAAAGTGTTTACTGCTTCATGTGTATAAAGTTACACATGAAGTGCTCTAACTGTTCTTCCTCCCTGAATTCACATTAAGGAAAAACAAAACCATTCAATTTTTAGAAAACAAGTATTATAAGTACTATGCTGGAAGCTGCATTCTTCTGATAGCAGATTCCCAGGAGTCAGGCATCTCCTGAGAGAGGGTCTGAACAGAGTCTTCAGAAACACCAGGCTCATTTCTTCTCTGCTCATTACTACTATTCCCAGCAGCCAACAGTTAATAGGGAATATGAAATATGTCACCAATCCTCCAGGTTTCTTTTGGTAATGTTGATTTTTTTTTTTTTTTTTTTTTTTTTTTTTTAAAGCAGCTACAGAGTCCTAGCTGGCCTGGAACTGGCTTTGTAGAACAGGCTGGCCTTGAAATTACAACAATCTGCCTGTCTCTGCCTCCCAAGCACTAGGCTTAATGGTGTGCGCTATCACGCTTAGCAGCCTTGGTAACTTTAAAATATCAAATGCTACAGCCCTCACATTTAGCCTTTTATCGTTCTAACAAGGCAAACACCTCACAGTTAACCTATTACCTTTCTCACGCTGTACCACCCAGAGTCAGAGACATTAAAATATTAAAAAGCCTTACCTGGATAGTACTGCTTTCACAGGGCAGAATACTGCTTTCTGCAAGAGGCGACATGCACATATGAGAGTTTTCGATGCTGAAGGCAATCCCATTCACAAAATCAGCCATGGGTGAATTGCCAATATGCACTGGCTCCTTTATCCAGGTGCTTTCATCCACTGTGTCTATAGGATCGAACATATCCACGGTGTCATTTTCCCTCTTGCTTTCAGCATCCTCCAGCAGCGCTAGCTCTTTCTCCGAGGCACTAGACTGACTCTGTGTAACAGACATGGCAGTGACTACAGGCTTGGCACATGCCGAAGTCTCACAGTCCAGCTGCTGAAGGGCTACTGCTGCATTTGTGCCTGGTAGAGAGACATCTGTGGAGGGAATGTTGTCTTCTTCATCTTCATCTTGGGTCTCAAGAGTAAAAGGGATCCGAATCAGTGAGGACAAGTACTGAGGACCACCTCTCAGTCTCCCCGGAGACCAGTTTCTAATTGGTGAGCAGCCATCTATGTATGGACTCCTGATGCTTGGATTAGTGATCCCCATAGAATTTGCTCCATATGAAGCTTCAGGAGAATGAAATGTAAACTTCCTCTGTTCTGAAAGAGTGAAGGGGAAAAAAATCACGTCATAAAAACACAAAAACAGAAGTCATTTAAAAAAATAAGGATTCCTGTAACAGCTGTGTATATACTAAAATGAAAGGCAGTATGTACCTCAACAGACTCAACCTCCAAAACTGTTTCTACGGCTCTCTCCAAATTCTATTTAAAATACTTTATTTCTTGTGAATTATTTCTTCATAAGTTTACTGCATTATACCAAACTTGTTCATACACAATGAAGATCCCTAACAAGCTGGCTTTTAGAAGCTACAATTTAACAACTGTACTTGGTAAATGTGTTGGTTTTATTTAACAGACTTGCCACAATACTAAAGGGCAAACAAAAACTGGAAAATGGTATTTATAATAGTAAGGAGCCTAACAATAATCAAAATGATAAATGCTTTAGTTTAACATTGTTTATAATGAAAAATTCAATTGATATAACCTTTTATGAAGAAAGTAAGTAAATTACATCGAGAGCCTTAAAAATATGGGCAGGGGACACAGAGCAGTGGTAGAGCCCTTGCTTAGCATGCGTAAGACCTGTGTTCAATCCCCAGTACAATGTAGGGAATGAGCCTTCAAAACAGCTGCCACATTTGATGAATTTTTACTTCTGGGAAATTAACCTAAGGGTGAAACCAGGACCAAGAAAAACAAAACAAAAATAAGACAAATAGAATGATGCATGTATGCAATGGTTCAAAAGCATGGTTTTGAAGCAACAAAATAATTTCAATGACCTGTGAAATAAATGCTTTGTGAAAAATAAAGATCCATGGACAAAAATGTACAAATTTGTTATCAACACATCTATATCCCTATATAGAAAAGCAAAGCAAAGTTTTTAAATTTCCATAGTTTTTCCCAAAAATACTGTTAAATGTTTTTTCTAAGAGTATATACATTTCTGAACATACTTATTTTAAAAACCTTAACCAAGTATATATTACAGGATTTGAATACCTGATTGTCAAAATCTATTACTATAAGTAAAAAGGCATGTAAGAATCAATTTATCTCTAGAACTTATTTTTTTGGTAGAGTGAAATAAATACGCTTATGAAAATAACTAATCCTGGCAGTGGTGGCGCACGCCTTTAATCCTAGCATTCAAGAGGAAGAGGAGAAGCATGAGGATCTCTGTGAGTTTAAGGCCAGCCTGGTCTACAGAGAGAGTTCCAGGATAGATGGTAGACAACAAAACTACAGAGTCTCAAAAAAACAAAACAAAACAAAACAAAAAAAACAAAACAAAAACAAAAAAAAACCCAAACTAAACTAGATTAGAAAAATTTCCTGAGAAATTTAGACTTTGACTTTGAGGATAAATTATCTCTCCAGCCTTTTTCGTAGTGCAAGGAACTGAATGTAGGCAATACATAGCATATACATATACTCTACTCTGAACTATACCACCACCCTTTCTTTCCCAAATATGGCAATTTTATTTGATAAGGATGCAGACTATAGAGCAAAAAGTGATTCTATGGGAGGAACCTGACATCCTATTATATTTTACCTAAGTTTTCTTCTTTCGTTGTTAAATGTTTGGGGTGTTTACATTAGTTTCCTTCTTTCGTTGTACAATGTTGGGGTATTATAATTACACAGTTTCTCCCTTCCCATGCCTTCTTGCACACATTCCTCTCTAGCCCCCTGTACTACTGCTTTCAAATTCATGGCTACTATTTCTTTGTGTTACATTCATGTGTGTTCCTACATACCACCTGCTCAATAACCATGTTACTTTTATACATTTTCTTCCAGGGCTTACCACGTTAGCATGTCTACTGGTGTTATCCTTGTTCAGGTCAAAACTGTTTAGGCAGCCATGATGGTGACATGTCATGGATGCAGCTTCTGACATTTCCGGGAGACACAATCTCACATCACAGCAAACTCCGTGTTCCTCTAGCCTCCTCTTTTGTTTTTTGTTTGTTTGTTTTGTTTTGAAATGGGGTCTTTGTTTTATTTCTATGAAGAAACACCACGACTACTACGACTACTACAACTCTCGTAGAAAACATTTAACTGGGGGCTTGCTTAGAGTTTCGGAGGGTCACTCTGTGGCATGCGTGGTGCTGGGCACAGCAGACCTGCATCCTGATTGGCAGCCCAGGAAAAGGAGAGGCTTTTCAAACCTCCATCAAGACCGCAACTCCTAGCCCTTCGAATCCTTTCCATAGTTTCTACAAATTAATACCAAAGTATTCACTACTAACTGCTAAAAGAGCCTTTTCTTAGCAATAAATGTGGACACTACAAATTCTGTGTATGTTATTGTGAGACATACCTGACAGTGGTGTCTTTCCTACTTGAAGTGCAATTGGTGAGAAAGTGGGTAAGGAAATAGCCGGAGGGCTAGTTATGCTCCCCAAACTGTATTTTCTTGCACTGTTTTGAATGGGGCTTGAAGAAAACTGTCCCTGTGATTAAAAATAATAATAAATTAGAAAATAAAAATGTTAGTAATCAGTAAATATAGTTAATTTCTCTTTGTCACAGTTATATTGCATGTTCTTTGTCTCATTCACAACATACTTACAAACTAGGAATTCACAAGAACCAACCCATGAAAGAAATCTTGAAACAAAGGCAACTAAGACTGCTATAAAAATCTTGAAAAAGAAAATGTCTAAACATTGGAAGGTGTTAAGTTAATAAAAAAAAAAAATAATGAATTGGGTTTAAACAAGTCATTCATTATATTCCATACCAAGTAGCTGTCTGTGAAAATAGCAATAAAGTATTTTATTTACTCCATCAATGCTAACTCAGTTGTTACGCTAATCTTTATGTAATTCAGTAAGTAACCCTTGCTTTGTTTCCTTGAGACAATGATCAATTTGCTCACCCTGTCTACCTTAAATACAAAACTGAAGTCTCACTGAAATCTTATCTACAAACTGCAAAAATGCTAACAAACACCCAAGGGTGATATTCCTGGGTGTGATGGAGTATCTACATTCAAGCATATCTACAACACACTAACCAGCCACTTGCTAGCACACTTTTTACGGTACATGCAGTCTACACAGGGCTCACAGGCTATATGGAGACAAATCTATTGGATAAAACACCTCAAGAGAGTCTCCAGCACTGCTAGGAGGGCTTCCGGGAGAAGCTGAAGGCAAGGAGTCAGAGATACTCCCATTCACATCCAAAAAGAGCTTCCTTCTTAGAGATGAGGAACTGAGGTTCCCAGGAGATTGGTCCGAAGCATCATCAGTTCTAAAATAGTCTCCTGCATTTAACAGTTAACAGAGAAAACTGATCACTGCAAGAACTACACTTGTATCACCTAATTGTCATGAAACATGTTGGAATTTTTTCAATACATATATGTGTGATGTTTATTATTCTTTATGTTTGGCATGTTTATTTGCTGTTACTGGTGTTGTGCGTCAGTGCTTACTACAGACCCAGGCTGGACTTGAACTTGTGGTAGTCCTTCTATCTCAACCCGACTGCTAGGAATGTGCCCCCCCACACCTGACTGGTCATTAGTAGTAAAATGCAGTTCATCTTTCACGTCCACAGTGACATTCACTATGACAAAAACACTAACTCCAACCGTGTTCAAGAAACAGAACCATGTAGGGCAGTTTCCTGCTTAAGGAAAGGCATGGCTGCACTGCCATTTACAAACAGCCAAACAACCCAAGAGCCTCGGTTTGTGTTAATAAAGACAGGGGTCACAGTATTTACCCAACACGGCTTCCAAATTAAAATCCACAGGAAGAGACAGCAGAGTTTGACAAGCAGCTGGAAATAAGCAAACAGATACACGGATGCACACATCAGTGAAGGCATGTGACGTTCAGTTCAGCATGTGCCAGCCAACCACCACCTCCCAGCATGCTCCAGGACAGTCAATCTGCTGCTGCACTCTAGTACATCCCTTGCCACCTTCCTGACGCAAATCTGCCAATGGTAGAAGTTAGCTCCTGCCTCTGAGACCGGTACTCGGAAGCGGACAGGGTACCAGCAGGCACTAGGGGGTTTCCCAGACCAGCAAACCACTTGTGTTTTCTTTAAACTTTTCCCAGGCTTGAAATCAATTCTCAAATCTCACGCTTCAAAAAGGAAAGCAACACATGGTTGCTGTTTCTAAAGCATCCGTCTGTCAAAGTCAGTTTTCCTGGCATACGGCTCATTCACAAAGCAAACAGTGTCTGATCTGAAAGTAAAGCGATACTGTGTGGTGGACTATGCTGGAATCAAAGTAGCTTACTATGCAACAAGTCTTTTCCAGACCCTGCTCACACCCACCATTGCATTTCTCAGAGGGAAGCAGCAGTTTCGGAGAGTCACTGTTGCTATTAAGGCCTGCAAAACATTTTACACAGAAAATTGTCATTTTGTATGTATTTAATTCAGGATCACATCATTCAGAGTAAAACTCTTCACACCAGAGGCTTTCCCATTTTAAGGATAAACATCTGCATTTAAAATTTTGCTGTGTTTCTGTTGGATTATCTAATGAGGAAAAGTTAGAATAAAACTAAAAGACTATAAAACTAAATGATAATGTGATTAGCAGTTTTTAGTGACAAATGACTGCAAGTGGTCTTGGTATACAATGTGATATTGATATGTATATATACTGTTGAATGAGCAAGTAAGGCCAAAATATCTCAAACACATTCTGTCATTTAATGTTCCCAAAATGGGTTTAGATAAATTCAATTAAAAAGTTAGATTGTTTTGACCAAATAAGGTGATAAATAAGACGATTCTCAGTTTTTATCAAGAGTCAACAATACAGTTGCAGGGAATGCTAGTGCACACCTTTAATCCTAGAACTTCGGCGGCAGAGGCAAGAGGGTCTCTGTGAATTCAAGGATCAAGAGGTCTACAGAGAGTTCTAGGACAGCCAGCGCTACAAAGAGTGACCCTGTCGGAAAAGACGGTTCAGGTTTTTAAATCTTCCATTTTATAACTTAACAATCACCAGCTCGAGTGAGAAATTACTGAGTAGACCAACACTAAATGAGACCAGGTGTATTAGTGTGGGCCAAAGAAGGTCTCCTGTTATACTGTCAGAATGTGAAGCGAGTGCAATTTTGGACTCTAATGCTCTTCTGCTATAAAACCACAGCGGGTTCAGAATGAAGTCCGAATACCTTAGTGGCTTACAAACCCTCACAATTTTTGTCCCTTGTTCTAGCAATGTTGCCACCTGTTTCAGTGCTGTTCTCACTGTGGCGCTCAAACAGTGGAGTGAATCGACTTACTAAAGGGAAGGTTTATGCTAGAGCACATGTCTTCACAGCAGGACAGCAGAAACGGGGGTGGGGGGGGGCACAAAATACTCCCAGGCACTTGCTCTAGTGACCTACTTCCTCTCAAGCTCCACCTCCTAAAACCTCCAAACTCTGCCCTTAGCCAAGCATTCCGACAGTGTCCTCCCATTCATCCAGACCGCCACTCCTCAAGGAGGTGACACAGAATAGCCTTGTCACACATAATGCACGCTTGACAGACACTGGAGGCCATCATTTGGATCTAGAATGTCTCGCAGTGGCCCGTGTTAAAGGCCTTATCCTTAGCTTAGTGCTACTTAGAAAAGGATACATTTTAAGGTGTGGGCCTCACTGAAGGACTTATCAGCCAATAGGTATAGCCCTGAAAGGGTTACCTGGGACCAAAGTCCCCTGTTTCCTCTCTTCCATACATGCTCATGGTTAAAACAGGTTCCCTGCACCATTCACTGACTGACTACCTGTGCTGCTACAGGCCCAAAGCAAAAACGTCAATCAACTAACACTGAAAGCTCCAGAAGGGGGCCAAAAATAACACTTATGCTTACCTAGCACGGAGGGCCCTGGGCTGGACCCCAGCATGGCATCCCTTGTGTGGACCTAACATGTATAGCTGGGTTTAGTACCCAGCATGGCATCCCCTAGGTATGCTGGCCTATTACCAGTAACCACAGTAAACCCAGCATTCAGACGGTAGGGGCAGGAAGATCAAAAGATCAGGCCTTGGACACCAGACCTCACTCAAAAGAAAAAGGAGAGGAGGAGGAGGATGGAAAGAAGCAAAAGAAAGGAAAGGAAGGAAGGAAGGAAAAAAAGAAGAAAGGAAGGAAATAAATCCTCTTCTATAATGAGTTATAAGCAAATCTGCTACAAAGGAAACCTCTTTATTATTATAGACATGAAATAAATCTACTCTCTTTGGAAGGTTTCCCAAGGGTGACCGTCATGAAAACATCTTTGAAAATACAAATGTGCACACACACATACACCTCTATACACAAGCATAAATATGAATAGAACTTTTAAAAAAGATTCTTGGGAACAGTATCCTTTTATATAACTTCTTGTATACGTTCAGGACTGACACTCCCCAGGGCTTGTCACACAGCATCATTTTACACAGTGCAGCCCTGCTAACCACTGCACTATGCTACAACCATCTGGGTCGTCTTTATAAAGACTATGCTTTTTTTTCGTTTTCCTGACACTGCCTCATTTTTAGCAAAAAAAGTTTCTCAGAATAGAAATAATAAAAAATAAGATTACACAGATGTTTCCTCATCTGCAAAAACCTAAGATTTAAAAGATGGGGGGTGGGGGAGAGACTAGTACTTATCAAAATGTCAGCATGAACACAGAATTTCAAAGTTGTGAAGATAATTCTCTAGCTTAATCCTTTCATTTTCCCAATAGAAAACCAGAATAAAAAAAGACCAAATAGCCAAGACTACTCCTCTAGTTAACAGTACCCAGACCTCCCTGGCACGTTAGTTTGTAGTGGCTGATGATATACAGGATGATCTGAGGTACCTCGTTTTAATCCAGGCTTCACAACTTTTACAATCTCAGTAACAACCAAAGAAACCCCAATCACATTTCAATTAAGGTTTGATCTTTACTCAACCAGGAGTTAATCTTGTCACGTGGAAACTGAATTTTAAGAGGCTCTTCACAGAAACCAGTACACGGACACTTCTCTACAGTGGTCTGCAGCCACGGCTCTTAGAGATGCGTGCCAAATACTCACGTTTACTTACACCCTGGTTTTGGCATGTTGAGTACTCACATTTACTGGGATGAAGCTCTAGAGGCTGCTTCCCATCATGCTCAGTCCAGGGAGAGGGTACGATGACATCTTTAGTGAAAAACTGGGAAAATTCAAGTTGCACAATTACGCATAAACTCCACAAATGGAAGAGTACCTTCGTTATTTTCAAACGGTCATCAAGTGGGTCATATGTACTAACTTACGTTTATTTTTAAATGTTCATATTCAACATAACTGACTAAAGTTAAAGGGAAAAAATATAAAGTACACATATGGAGACATCTTAATATTTTAAATCAACCATTTAAATTTGAAGCTAAGGGTATGACTCATAGGTAAATTACTTTTCATTTCTCTACCAAGTTGTGTTGGGGTTGGTGACAAATGTAAAATTAGGAAGAAAGGATTAAATGGAGATAAAGGTACACATGTAAGAAAATGGTGTGATAGACTTTAGCCTGTAGTGACTTTCAAGATCTGATTACCAAATATTCAAGAATTTAGATACCCTCTGTTAAAGTCAATACTAAATATAAAATTGTATAAATTTACAATTAAATAAATTATACTGAATCATTCAAAACGTTGTTGACCTTGCCAAGTCAGGGTAAGACAGCCATTCTACCTCCCTGCTGTTGTTGTGGTCTGTCAAGTTCTCTTGGCCTTAGCCAAATCTGGGTGTACCAACGTTGCTGTGAGACCTAGGGTGACTGTTCAGGTGGCTTGCTGTTTCTGTCCTTGCTGCACCTTTTGGAAGTTGTCCATCCGCATTTCCTGTCTACTCTAGTATTGTTAATTTCCTTCTCAGGTCTTGATGAGGTTAAAGATTAAACTATCACAATTATTATTCTCTCTTCCTAGTTAGATATATTAGGTACTAGACTTACGTTTTCCAGCTTAGGACAACTCTATTGTAAACTCCATTATGCCCTCACCCTAGGACTAGATATGTAGGTCATTTTGTTCTTGATTTTCCTTTTCTTAGAGCACACTTGTTATTCACTGTTTTGTATATAGTTTTATATTAAGCCTAAATCTTTTCTTTAGACTAAAAGGAAAATTGTAGTGAAATAGTCCTTCTATAGCACTGACCACACCCATTGGGGGGTGGAGCCATGGGCAGAAATGACCTATGAAAGGAGGTCGGAGGGGGCCAGGAAAGGCGCTTTTTCTGGCGTGACTCGGACAGGAGAGGATCGGGTTGAATTTCCTGGTGTTCATCTGTCTAGGTTGTAAGTTATTTCTCCCTGAATAAACATCTATTCGGCCTATTTGTTTATCCTGATCCTTATTTACCGCGATACTTAACATTTGTCAGTATCTATGTTCCTGAAGTTAATTACACTTTGTATATATATGTGGTGGAATTTGTCTCACATGTGTGTACAACTACACTTTTCCCATTCAGGGATAGTGTATTAGTACTGGAAGTTGAGTACAGTTAGAGTGTTTATATTATGGGTAGCAGCAATCACAGAAACCATCCGAGGTATGCAAAGAGAGTGCCAGTTGTTACACATGTACCTCTATGCCACTATCCATCCTACCCAAATGAACAAAAGACAACTACATTTAACCATCCATCCATCCATCATCTGTCATCTATCTCTCTATCTACCTATCCATCTTCTATCTGTCTATCTATAACTATGTCTTTTGATTCTAACTCAGTACTTTTCCCTTCCCTTTATTTCAGGGTAAAACATTTTCTTTTTACTCTGCTACAGATAGAACACAGTAAAAGTCTGTCGTCTAGCTATCCATCTTCTATCTGTCTGTCTGTCTATACCTATGTCTTTTGCTCCTAATGCAGTACTTTTCCCTCCTCTTTATTTTCAGGGTAAATCATTTTCTTTTTATTGTGCTACAGATGGGATGAAGTTAATTCCATTAACTAAAGCAGGGATGAGTCTGAACGGAAAATATGTGAAATGAAAAGGAATGGGAAAGATATAATGCTATAGGAGAGTTGCAGAAGAAGTGTAAAGGACCCGTAGGCTTATGAAATATCACACACATTTAAACAGTAACAGTCAACATGAACTGGAGCCCAGATATGACATCAGACATTGTAAAGTTTGAGAATAATCAGTGTTGTGGAGAGGAAAAAGCATCATGATAAACAAGGAGCATAAATGGTTCAGACTCTCAGCAAGGCAATATGGCAAAACCAACTCAGACTGAAATCCACAAAGCCTCTGCTTACTGGCCCACTACAAGTACATAAAACACATGAACAGACCACAACACTGCGATGTAAAGAGAGAACTTAAAATCTATCAACAAGACGTGTTTATGTATTCTTACTAAAATACAAAACTCTCTGTACAGGTGATTACTTTTACAAATCTAAGAAAGAAGAAAAAAATAACAAAAACAAGGTATAAAATCAATGAGAATGAAGCTAGGTGACTAACACATTTAAATAGCTAAGGAATAGAGATGGGTAGCAGAAACGAGAGGGAAGAAAGGAGAGCTCAAAGCATGTCCCTACCACACACAGCAAAGAACTTTCTCAGCAAAGAACTCGGTAATCCTAATACGCTAGGAAGAGTATTTAATTGAGGAAAAAAAAAAAAAAAAAAAAAAAAATCAGGCAAAAATGTGGCTTCATTGTTTTTACTAAAAACAAAGAAACCAAAGACCTAACCTTTGAACTTGGAAGTAAGTAAATGTTAAAAATGCTTAAATATTACAACAAAAGACAAAGTCATTGTGAAGGTGCAGGATTAAACCACTCAGCTTCCTTTATAGAAACTCCAAGTTGAATCAGGAGTTTGGGCTACTCAGTATTCTGAAAGCACAAGGAGACAAACTGTGCTGGGCAGAGGATGACATGATGATCAGAGGACTGTACTGGTCAAAACCAGATCAGTCTAGGAAGAGAAGCACCAAGCCTAAGAGAGACACAGCGATGGGTGGAAAACTCAGGGTCCTGAAAAGAACTCAGAATGGTGTGGAAACAGGTGGGGAGGGGAGCACTAAGGACCAGAAGGGAGCACTAAGAATAGAGGGGAGCACTAAGAATAGAGGGGAGCACTAAGGACCAGGAGGGAGTACTGAGGACCAGGAGGGAGCACTAAGGAATGGAGGGGAGCACTGCATGAAGGGGAGCACTAAGGACCAGGAGGGAGCACTAGGAATGGAGGGGAGCACTAGGAATGGAGGGGAGCACTAGGAATGGAGGGGAGCACTAGGAATGGAGGGGAGCACTAAAGACCAGGAGGGAGCACTAGGAATGGAGGGGAGCACTAGGAATGGAGGGGAGCACTAGGAATGGAGGGGAGCACTAGGAATGGAGGGGAGCACTGAGGACCAGGAGGGAGCACTGAGGACTGGAGGAGAGCAATGAGGACTGTAGGGGAGCACTAGAACTGGAGGGGAGCACTAAGGACCAAGAGGGAGCACTAAGGACTGGAGGAGAGCGATGAGGACTAGAGGGGAGCACTTTGACAGTGACAGATTTCAAGTCTTCCTCAAGGAGAGGGCACACATGCACAATTCACTGTTGGCTGGCTTAATGATTGTAACAGTATTAAGTTACCTCTTCAATGGCCTTTTGTCTTTTGTCTTCCACATCTTTATCTGTTCTATACAGAGATAAAGGAGAAATATAACCAGGCCATTACTTCAGCTTATTGAACATTAAAAATAATAACCTTTCAAGGAAGTAATTTCTCTTCATTGAAAACTGATAAATATTAAACTCATTTTCAAGGAAAAACTGGCACCAATTAGTTAACGGCAGTATTCTGAAATTCACCATTAGCTATTAGGCTCACTTTCCTTTCACTCAAAGTTTAATGGAATAAAACTTGCTTTTAAAAGGATTATGTTAATATATCAAGTTACTACCAACAACATAATTCAAATAAAGTGTTTTAAGCAATAGAAGTAAAGTATTTCATTTGAAAGAAAACTAGCAATTGTCCAAATTCTCTTTTTTCAGTTATAGCAATTTCATTATAGTAGTTATTTTAGAATATACTTTTATTCTGAAAGGAACTAAACAATGTACTGTTTTGAATAGACAAGTAAAAATAATTCTGAAACATAGTAGCAATATAAAAATTTGCCCAAATAAATGCTTTCTTTGTTCTACTACAATACAGAATTACAACACAAGTTTCTCTGCTATAAAATTTAATACAAAATGTCGGGTCCCAAGCACAAGGCAACACTTGCCAAGGATATGGCAACTGGCCTTGTAAGACCACTTCTTTATATCATTCCAGGAAAGAATTATTGCAATCCATCCAAAAATTGGCAAATAAATTTTAAAAGACAATACAATTTCATATTATTTTTCTCAGTAACTGTTCATGTACATATCTGTTCCTGCATTAAAGGAAAGAAAAAAGGGAAGCTAGTATGAGGGTTTATGAATTTCAGAAATTTAAGTTAAACGAAATTTTCAAGTAAGGGAATTAGAAGAAAATAAACAATGACAGTCATCCACGAGTCCTGGCTTGGATGATCGTCATTTTGAGTGTAACAACTCAGTGACCGTTACTATCATGGCCATATCACAGCCATGTCAAAATGGCTGTACATCCATTAATTTTAGTTTACAGGAAGTTCCAATCTGGCTTCATCCCATTCCAAAAACCTCCAGCTCTTTCACTGAGGAGCTTGAGCTGAAATACTCAGCTGATTGCTGGAATCAGTTAAATGCTGGAATGGAAAACAGGTGACAGATAGGGCAGAGGACCTTGACTAGCACAGTACTACACACCAGTGATGTACACAGGTGGCCAGTGCTCTGACCGGATGTGTTTGTTTATTCCAATGTTCCTGTGTGTGCTATAGCACAATGAAGGACAGCCTGAGATGGCACTGGTTAGTTAAGCAGTAGCAGAGGCCACTGCTTTCCTAAGAATGAGTCAACATACTCAGATGAGTGTTTTCACTTTCTTCAGGAGAAGCCTTATAAACATTCAATGAATTACATCAGTAAGCTAACATTAGAATACACCCCCATTTTTCCCTCATATAATTTATCTGTCTACTGAAATTCGCCAAAATTCTTTCTAGATTCAACCAGATAACACACCCCTTATTTTTTGTAAAATGTATTGCAACTGTGGTCTAATTGTTCAGTTAGCTCTCTAGGGTGGGAATAATTAATATTCAGTGCATTGCAGAGCTCGGGAAGTAGCGTTTTTCTGATGATATCATAGTTGTCTGGAATTCAATATATTGAAGAGATAAAGCAAAAAAGTGAAGTACATAGTATTTATGGGGGGAAAGTGAGTCTTGATTTTTTTTTTTTTAAGCTTCTCTACAGAATTAAAACTTAAAATCCTATATGCCTTGTCTTCAGGCTATTCCCTTTGTACAAGAATTCAGGTGGGAATTAATTATGAGTAAATGGTCATTAGAATAGCAAGCAGAGAAAAAAGGGAGTAGAAACATTTGGAAGAACATCTCAACATGTGCATCTCTGTGAATGAATTCTCAAGTCAAAGCGGAATAGATCCCATTCCTTTGACTAACAATACAGCTATCTTATGATAGAAAATTAAACACTGGACAAGCCATGCATTTGATTATTTTCTAATATTAAGCACAGCAGACTATAAGCCTCGCTTAGCCATCATCAGAGAAGCTTCCTCCTAAAGGAAATGGGAACAAATACACAGAGACCCAGAGCCAGACATTATGCAGAGTGAAAGATCTTGGAACACTCAGCCCTAAATGGGATGTCTCCATCAACTCCCTCCCCTTAGGGCCAGGGAACCCTGCAGAAGAGGAGGCAGCAGCAAGAGTCTAAGAACCAGAGTGGATGGAGAACTCCAGAAAACGAGCAAAGCTTGTATGCGGGACTGAAGCAGCGTGCACAGGGCCTGCGCGGGTCTGCACTTCCTTGACTGCTCCAGCTCGGTGGATTTTAATGGGTTCCTGAGCATGGGAATGAGTGGGTCTCTGACTCTTGTGCCTCTGCTTGTGCTCTCTCCCTGCTGTTTTGTTCAATCCCTGTGTGTTAGGTTATGTTTCACATTAGTATGTTTTTTTATTAACCCTTAGAGGCCTGCTTTAAAGGAGAAGAGAACGGGGATGGGATCGGGGGGGGGGGGAGCAAAAAGTGGGGAGCTGGGAGGGGTAGAGGCAGGGAAAAACATAATCAGGATATTCTATGTAATAAAAGAAGAGAAAGACAAAGACAAAGAAAAAAATCAGACTATAAAACAAAGGCTCTTTAAACTATGAGCAATACTGCCTAGCAATGTGTTAATTAAAAACCCAGCTCTGGTCCACTAACAGAGGTGTCAATAGCATGTTGCCACACTGAGCATCACTGAACAGCACAAACACCAGTGTTTGGAAACTAGACATGAGAAGTGCACACTATGCCCGGGACATGAAGACTCAAAGGAAATAGAATGCACAGGCCCACAAGATGGCTCCATGAGTTAAAGCCCTTGTCAGGGCAACCTTCACCACCTGAAATCTAGCTCTGGGCTCCAAGGTGGAATGAGAAATCAACTCCCAGAAGCTGCCCTCTGACCTCCCCACGCACACCATGGCATGTGTGCACCCACACGCACAGACACTGTAGTAAATAAAGAATAATTTTTAAAAACAATTGAGATTCCTCAATGAACTGTGTTAAAACTCAATGATGCCTAGAAAGCTCTCTGTTGCCAATAAATGCTATTTCATCAGCTCTTAGCTTGTTAGGGGATTCTAGACTTCCCCAGATAGGCAGCAACTGAACAGAGTCTTTTGTTATCCTGAGACAACAACAAATACATCAGAAGCCACAACTATAGAGAAATGTACAAATGTTCAAGGGCTTTTCCATCTAATCAAGTGTTAGAAGACAGAAGTATTTAGAGCAGTGGTGTGTCTTTGTGTGCGCGCGCTCACATGCTGGTGGTACACAAAAAGGATTCCGATATAGACTGGGATTGTAAGTCAAGGTATCTTTCTAGACAAAAATTCTTTAAACTCCCTCAGAAAAAACATCCACATTAATTTTTTTCTTTCTTGGCACATTTACATATATAGGTAAGTTACATATACATATGTAGCTAATTAGAAGCTCTTATTTCTCTTTACATAACAGTATGTTACTACACTTAAGTACATGAAAGGCAGACTTACCGAGAATGACTTAAATAGGAGGTCTGACGATGAATCTCCTCTGGGTCTATTTCTACAGGATTCATTATAGCCAGCTGATCGATAGACCACCTAAATTCCCCTGGAGTCTAATAAATGAAAGCAAACACACATATTTAAAATACTCCATCAAAATGCTACCCAATGTTACCTTCAAAACTGTAGATGGCTATAACAAAAGTATTTTCAAATCTGAGTTTAATCACTCTAAATTAAATGGCAAATGGTAACCAAATCGCACTAGGTCAATCTGAAAATATCAAAACCTGAGTAATTTTAAAAAATGACATAATACTCTGAAAGTCAGAGTAACAAAGGTATAGAAATATCACAGTTAGCACTCATGAGGGAGAAACCATGATCATGAATAAACAAAAACTTTAATTATCTATTGTCACTATGAATGAATTAAAGTCTTAGCTACAGAAGAAGCTCCAGCAGTTTATGAAATAACTGACCCTCAAACTATTTAAGAATGGCACCCAGAGCTGGAGAGATGGCTCAGTAGTTAAGAGCACTGGCTGCTCTTCCAGAAAACCAAGGTTAAATTCCCAGCATCCACATGACAGCTCACAACTGTCTGTCACTCCAGTTCCAGGTCATCTGGCATACTTAGACATACATGCAGGCAACATACCAATGCACATTAAATAAATCTTAAAAAAAAAAAAAAAAAAGATAAACAATGGTACCCATACTGGGAGAGTATGCTATATTTTCTGGCTTTGAAGTTTAATTAAAATTTAATTCATATTGGGAAGTGGTGGTACATGCCTTTAATTCCAGCACTTAGGAGGAAGAGGAAGAACTCTGTGAGTTCAAGGCCAGCCTTATCTACAGAGCTAGTTCCAGAACAGCCAGTCCTGTCTTGGAAAACCAAAATAACAAAAAACAAACAAGAAATTGCATTGAAATCATTATTGTACTATTGTGTGTACATACACATCCACGTTTGTGTTGGTACAAAATATGTGTTTGAGTACATACACGTACAAGCGGGCTAGAGATCAATTTGGGACATTACGCCTCATGTTTTGAGACAGGGTCTGTCATTGGCCTTGGCATATCAAATAATCTAGGCTGGCTAGGCAGTAAGTGCCAAAGATCTGCCTATATCTGCCTCCCCTAGAGTAGGACTATAAATGTTCACCACAAGTAGCATTTTGATCTAGGCATCTAATTCATGCCCTTGTGCTTGCATGGCAAATGGCAAGCATGCTATCAACGGAGCTATCCTCTCAGCCTCCATTACTTACTTTTGATTAACACTAAAAGATGGCTAAATTTTATCATGAATCAGAGGCCAATATGACACCACATAAATTGTATATGGTCCCCCACACCTTCTCACTGTCCATGCTGATATGAAATGCAGCAGAAACAGTCACCTGGTATCTTGGTTATGTTTACTGTTGCTATGATGAAACACTACAACCAAAAGAAAACTGCGGAGGAAAGCATTTTTTCGGCTCACACTCCCACATCACTGTTCACCATCAAAGGAGTCAGGACAGGAACTCAAGCAGGGCAGAAACCTGGAGGCAGGAGCTCATGCAGAGGACCTGAGGGTTGCTGCTTACTGGCTTGCTCAGCCTGTTTTCTTAGAGAATCCTAGCCTACAAGCCCAGGGATGGAACCACCCACAATGGACTGGACCCTCCCACATCAATTACTAATTTTAAAAACACCCAACAGGTTTTGGCTGCTGCCCAATCTTATGGAGGCATTTTCTCAACCGAGTCTCTCTGAGACCCAAGCTTGTGTCGAGCTGACATGCCAGCACACCTAACTGTACAGGTTATCTAGGTCAGTGTGGTTAACCAATCAAAAGACCGTCCCCAGTTTAGCAAGTTAACAGTAAAAACAGCTAAAGTCATGGAGCCTTCTCTAAATTCCTAAGGAGCACACTTCCTTCTGGACCTTCTGATAAATGTTAATCATCACACATATTTCTCTATTTTGAAAGTGTTCACTTTGTCGAATTTATTCCAATAGCACAGGAGTCAGCTCCCTTTTATAACAACCTCTGAGCTTTAATAGGGCTCGGTGTTTTCAAATGTCCGGGAGAAAGAAAATAGAGGTTTCGATATTGCATGACAGACAGAAAAATAACATGAAATTCAAATTTCAGCGTCTGTAATTCCATATTAGACCATGGCCATATTTGTCCCTGCATTGTTCTTGGCTGCTTCTTTTGATGTGAGGTACATATGAGTAGTGCAAACAAGACCAGGTGACTTGCAAAGCCTGTCCAGTTCCTGGGGAAACGTTAGTTGCTTCTGTGTTGGCGTGGAGGTTCCTAGAGAGTTTGCACCAAGTGATCCTAACTAGTCCACTGTTATTCCAATGCATAAGGGCATTCCTATTATGTTTGCTGGAAGAACTATTAGAAAACTAGGTGACCCGGCTTCTTCTGGAAGATATTTACATTCAAAATCATTTGCAATCACTTCCATTTAAAATCACTTGTAAACATTAGGCAAGAAAAACTTACTGGTAGTTTTGTGGATTTAAAGACAGAAGGACTGGCAAGGGTTTGTTTATGGAGATTTGAATAATCACTAGGACTTTCAAAGGGATTTAAAACGGGGATCTTTCCTGGAGTTTCCGGTGTTATTTGCATTTTTAATTCTCTCACATCTCCCATAGCCCAGGAAGCAAACTAAAAAAGAAATCAGAAGTACATATATTAAAACTATTAAGTACCATACACAATAATCCTGACAGGATACATCTAACATTTCACAAGGAGTTAATTCCAAACCTGATTCTTTGGGGATTATTTTATAGCTTACAAGAGAGCATCCTGTACGTTTTCCTCAGATGATCCTGAAACTAACCTTGGAAGCTGAAACGGTGCTCTCACTTCTCAGAGGAAGTTAAATACACACCACTCAGCTATAAGTTCTGGCCGGATGAGAAGCAAGGAAATCATACTAAGCACAAGTACCTTTCCAACCAAACGAATTCTCTCTGTAGTTTTCTGTATTCACGATCCCAAGGCTAAATAGCAAGAACATCCTTCGGATGCTCCAACAATTCTATAAAGAACTACAGTTACTGCTCCAGGAACGTTGTTAGCCCTCACTAGGGCGGGCTGATTGACAGGGTCCAGGTGGGGGTTTAACTAGTTTTCCCGAAGACGTCCACCCCTCCAGGGCACAAAAAAGCACAATGCATTCCTTCCAAAGAAGGGTTACAGCCAGGCGGGGGATGAGAGGAAAAAGGATTTACTTTTGGAAGATCGAAGTCGAGCCGGCTCCCTCGCGAAGAGCAGAGACGTCACTTCCAGCCACCATTCAGTTTCCAGGTGCCCCGTCTCCCTGCTCCCCTTCTTCGCGTCGGGGCGAGCGCGCAGGCAAAGCAGGGCGCCGGGGAAGCAGAGGGGTGCCCAGCTCGGCGGAGGGGTCCAGGGCCGGGGCCACGCAGGACTTGCCTACACCCGCGGGGGACGAGGGGGTTCGAGCATGTCCTGCAGAGCCCACCACAGGCGCCGACTCTTTAACTCCCTCCGCGCCGTCTCCGGCCAACCAGGGCGCGGGGCGGGGCGAGGCGGCCGGCCAATGGCGTCTCACCGCCGTCCGCGAACCGGCCAATGGCGTCGAGGCCGTGGAGCGAATTCGAACGCTAACTCCTCGCCCTGAGTTCCGCGCTAGCGAACGAGGCTCCAAATTCAAATCAACGCCGCCCTGCGTCGGCGCCCTGCGCCAGGGGGCGGGGCGGGGCCGGCGTGGGCGGGGCCTGGCCGTGGAGAGCGCGGCCGCGCGGCGGGCCTGCGGGCCGGAGGCGGGGCTTGGCCGGCGTGGGCGGGGCTGGCCCTTCGTGGGCGGGGCTTGGCCGTGCAGAGCGCGGCGGGCCTGCGGGGCGGGCGCTCCGTTTCCGGGTCAGGCCCTCTCCCACGGGCGCCGGCTTTCTCTGCTCCATGGCTGGCGGCGGCGGTGCGGGCGCGGCGGCCTCGGCCAACCTGAACGCGGTGAGGGAGACCATGGACGGTGAGTGCGCGACGCGCTCGCCTTACCCGGCCTGCGCTCCCCGGCGCCGAGCCCCAGACACGGAGGCGTCGTGGAGGGCCCGGCGGCCCCGGCGTCGACCCCAGCGCCGTCCTTCAGGCGCCCGGGCAAGGGGACCCGCCGCGATCCCGAGGCTGGCGGTCCTTCCCCGGGAGCGCTGGCCCTCCGCGGAGGCGTAGTTTGGCGCGCGCGCGGCGTTCCGGCCCCGCGGCGGCCCGTTGCGCACACCCAGCCCGGGCCCTCGCGACCCGCCCCTGTCCCGGGCGCGTGCCGGTGGCGCCCGAGAAGCTGGCGGCCCAAGTCCCCAGCAGGCGGGAGCAATCGTGGATCTTCAGTCACCGCTCAGCCCCGGGCCCGGGCGTTTCAGTAAGGAGCTATTCGCCACCGCCACCAAATGAGCGGATCTTCCCGTCATCATCTCCCTGTCCTGTCTTAGACCCGGTGACACGGGAGGCCGTTGATGTGGGTGTGTGCGCACGTGTTCGGAAATAAGTGCCTCGGAGTTGCCCCCTCTCGGCTGCGGTTCTGCAGCCTCCTGGACCCAGCACTTAGATGTGCAAGCCGTAGCTGTCTTGTGTATAAAATATAACTACGGCTGCGAGGGCTGTTGTGGGCATTTAAAATTGGACAACCAGGTGAAGTGTGTATCAAAAGTGTTCAGGCTTGCTTTGTTTGTTTGTTCTTTTGCATTAGCTGGCATCCCATTTGCATTGTATCTTTCTCTTCATTTTACTCGTTTCCATGTACATGCGGTACTGCATGTCCCTATTGGCAGTGGCCTTAATGGTTTCCAACCCTACTTACTGCATGCATTGTGTTTCATTCACCAAATGCCTGCCATCTTATCTTGCCCCTTCTAATTCTTGGAATGTCTTGCTCTGGTCACTGCTTACATTTATTTTTTCCACCTAGTGGTATATGTTCCATTGCTCTTTTTCTGAAAATTCGGTTAGAAATACCATATCCAGCCAGGTTTTTCATCCTGTGTGTTTCAAGGCTTACTGTTTTATAAAGTGAACTTATGTACCCAAGGATTATCTGAATAACATTATCTTCTTGCCTTGGGCGACTGTGGGTTTGAGGGTGTGTTGTTTTGAGACAGTCTTGTACAGAGTCTTGTTTTGTATTCCGGAGTGACATCAACTTCTCTTTCTGCCTCTGGAGTGTTCTTGGAGTGCTGGGTCTCTAGTGCATACCCCTTGCACCAGTGTGCATTTTGAATAATATCTGAAGATGTGGCCGTCTGTCCATCCAGTTTCCTTCGAAGGAAGACTCTTTGGTGGGACTGCTTTTGCACTGCTGACATCATCACCGTCTTTTCTGAGAGAATTTGATGTAAAATAAAAATTACAGACAGTAAGAACATGTAAAAGTGAAGACCAGAGGTGTTTTTCCTTTTAATGGAGGGAGAGTATGTGTGACATTTGATATTTTATTGCATTTAAATCCGTGCATGAGAGTCAACATGAAGTTTTCAAGCTTTTTGAATCCTGTTTCATCCCTCAATAGTAGCTTTTCTTCAAGATCTTGTGTGTTTCTCATCTTCTCCCTCCTTTCTGTGTTACCTAACAGTGATTTAAGCTTTTGATGTCTGTGGTTTGTCGGAGTAGTGGGAGTAAACTTTGTTAAAGCTAGATTACACAAGGGAAAAAGCAAATAGGCTTTGTAATTTTCTACACACTCTGCAAGGAACCCAACCCTGACGAACTGTAAGAGCTGTGAGATAAGATACTCTGCTCACATCCATGTTACACTCAATATACACTTCCAACGTTTCTTCTTAAAATAGCCAGACCTGGGACTGGAGAGATGGCTCAGCAGTTGAGAGCACTGATTGTTCTTTCAGAGGACCCCTGGTTCAATTCCCAGCACCCACATGGCAGCTCACAACTGTCTGTAACTCTAGTTCCAGGGGATCTGATACATTCACACCATAAAACAAAGTTGAATAAATTTTTTAAAATAGCCAGACTTTTCAACTACTTCCCCCTTTCAGTGTAACTCCTCAAATTTTTATTTTACTACTCATGATTGCATTCTGATAATTTTTCTTTCCAGAGGCTTTAGTATCCTAGCAACTTTATGTATCAGGTAGTAAGCTTCCAAAATCTTTCTAAGCAAAGGTGTTGAGAGCCATCAGACTAGTCAGTGACAATAATGCCATCCTTCCCCTTGTGCATTTGAGAAGGATATCTGGGGTCACTCTGATTTTCTTGTGTCTCTCCTGCCTCCTACTCATCACAACGGCCTTAAAATTCATCACTAATTTGATATTTGACAACTTAACTATTTCTTTTCAGGCCATCTCATTTACTAGTATTACCAAAAGTACAGCAATATAGACAAATTCCATGTCATACATGACTTGTTCACAAAACAAACCCATATTTAAAAACTGTCAGATACAGATTCCTATTTTATATCTATCAATAGTGTCTCAAACTTGAGTTCTTTAGTAGGGTCTTAGTAGATTTTCATGGCTCCTCTATTTTCTTCTCATTTGCCCCCTCATAACTGCCTGACACTGGCTGTTATCATCAGTGAGTTGACGAAGTTCCTGCCAATCTAGGAGCCATTGCACAGGTGTACTTTCTACTGCTTTGCTTCCTCCTGCCTGGAGTTCCTGTCACACTTCCGTCTAAGGTTGTTACTGCCTCAGGCAAGTCTTTCTCAAGTACTGTCTTTTCAGAATCTGTTCAGTGCTCCTGCAATTTGTTTTAGTGGGATCAGTCTTTGTTTTATCTTGCTGTAACAGATTTTACTTTTCCTTGCATTATGCTTAGTAATGATAAATTCACTCTGCATAGGAAATACTATCCTAAGCATAATGCAAGGGAAAAGTATACAACGGGTGATATGTTATCACTTGACTTGAATTCTAAGCATATTGTGGGAAACCACCACCATTTAACAAAGTCAGTGGAACTATTGCTTGTATGTCTTGTAAGGCAAAGTGTGGACGGAGGTTTCTGTACTTAACAGTACCGTAACCGTTTGGTCACAAATAAACACACAGAGGCTTCTGTTTGTACTATGGCTCGAGCTTCTTATTGGCTAACTGTCTCTTAATTATTAACCCATTTCTATTAAACTATGTATTGCCACAAGGCTGTGACTTACCTGTAATACTGCGGTGTAATTACCCCTTCGGCAGCTACAAGGCATCTCCCTGGCGACTCAGTGTTCCTCTTCCCAGCCTTCTCCTACTCTGGTAGCCCTACCTATACTTCTTGCTCGGCTATATCCTGTCTTTCCATTGGCCAAAAATACAAAGAAACATATTCACAGCGTACAGAAGGACATCCCCCATTAGGAATGATTCCTGGAAGAGCAAAGTGACCTAGGTTCTTAATGCTGCTGTTTTGAACGTCAAAGGGATACTTTAATGAGCTACCACAAAATACTGTGCTATAGAAAATGAAGTTAAGGATGTGATGCTATTACATACCTATATGCACAACACTGATGCACATAAAATAGAAAAGTTTACAAGTGAAAGTAAAGTGCACCAGCCTTTATTAATAAAGTTAACAGATGCAATTACTCTGTCAAATTATTGTGAAAGGGTCTAAAGCTATAAATGGCTATGTTGCTGAGTAGTTCTTTTAGAATTTGTCTTGAAATACAATTTAGTATATACAGATATATTGCAGTTACCACAATATTCTATCAATGGTGGAAGTGTAAGAGCAACTTAATTCTGAAAACAGTTTGGAGGTTAAGAACTTGGCATTTCCACGAAAAGGCATGTTATGCAACTATTTCTAAGTTTTTAAAACTGAGACACTTGGATGGAAAATCAAGATGGTTTACTAGGTAAGGGTCCCATGCCAGCAAGACTGATGAGCTGACTGATGTGCAGGGCCTACATGGAGGAGGTAGAGAAGCAATTCTGTAAGTTGTCCCTCAGACTACTCTACTTGTGCACTGTGACCTATGGGAACCCACAAGTACATACACATGCATTAGTCAGTCAATCAGTAAGTGTAAAATCAACTGAGAAGCACATGCTGGACTCTGAATCCTGAAGTGTTGATTCCTTAATAAAGCAGTGCTCTGCTGAGCCATTGTCAGAGCAGCTGCTTCTTGCAGGAGATGGGAGCAAATAGAGACATCCACAGCCAGACATTATTCATCCCTAAGTGGGATGTCTGCAGATCCTCCCCTCCCAGCTCAGGGAACGCTGCTGAGAAAGGGGCAGAAAGGGTGTGAAGAGCCAGAGGGGATTGAAGACACCAAGAAAACAAGACCCTCAAAATCACCATGAGCAAAACTATGAACTCAAGACTGAAGCAGCATGCACAGGGCCTGCACGGGTCTGCACCTGGTCCTCTGTGTGTGTATACCATGGCTTCCAGTTTAGTAGGGTTTGTTTTGTTTTGTTTTGTTTTTTAATGGGATTCCTTAGTTTGTAAATGAGTGGGTCTCTGGTTCTTGTGCCTTTTCTTGGGCTCTTTTCCTTCTGTTTATTTTGTCCAACTCTGATGTGTTAGTTTTTGTTTTACCATATTATATTATCCCTTGGAATCTTTTTTGTTTTTTAATGAGGATGGAAGGGAAGTAGGGTCCAGATGGGACAGGAAATGGAAGGAGTAAAGGGAGGACTAATCAGGATATACTATCTGAGAAAAGAATATGAATATATATAACTTTTTTTTTTTAATGTGGGTCTCTACACCTGCTTCTATCACTTACTTGATGAAGGTTCTGTGGTGACAGGGTAGTCATCAATCTGATTACAGGAAAAGGCCAGTTAAGCACCATCTTCTCTCCTAGGGGTCTTAGCTGGGGTCATCCTTATGGATTCCTGGCTCCTGGTTTCTCCCTAGCCCAGTATTGGCTCCCTCTGTTGAGATATCTTTCATTGTTCTCCCATTCCATCCCTTCCCCGAGTCAACAATCCCATTCTCTCATGTTCGCATCCCCCACCCCACCCTCTAGTTTAACCAGAAGATTGCATTTATTTCCCCTTCACCGGTTGGTCCATGTATCCCCCTTAGGTTTCTCGTTGTTACCTAGCTTCTCTGGAGCTATGGATTTCTATCCACTTATGAGGGAGTAAATACCATGCTTGTCTTTTTGGGTCTGGTTACCTCACTGGGATGAAATTTTTTTCTAGTTCCATACATTTCATGATATCATTGTTTTTCACAGCTGATTAATATTCTATTATGTAAATGTGCCATATTTTCTTTATCCATTCTTCTGTTGAGGGGCATCTAGGTTGTTTCCAAGTTCTGGTTATTATGAATAATGCTGCTGTGAGCATAGTTGAGAAAGTATCCTTGTGGTATGATTGAGCCTCCTTTTGGGTGTATGCCCAAGAGTGCTAGTGCTGGGTCTTGAGTAATTTTCTGAGAAACAGCCATACTGATTTCCAAAGTGTGTAAGTTTGCATTCCCGCCAGCAGTGGAAGAGTATTCCCCTTACTCCACATCCTCTCCAACATTTTTTTATCTTAGCTGTTCTGATAGGTGTAAAATGGTATCTTAGAGTCATTTTGATTTGCATTTCCCAGATACAGAGACCCATATCCAAGCACCAGGCTTAGCTACAAGAATCCAGTCAAAGAGCGGGAGGAAGGATTCAGGGGGGTGGGGATCACGGTCATGACAGGGAAACCCACAGAGACAGTGGGAGCTCACAGACTCTAAACTGGCAGCTGGAGAGCCTGTGTGGTACTGAACTGGGCCCTCTGCTTATGGGTGACAGTTTTGTAACCTGGTCTGTTTAGTGGGCCCCCTGGCAGTGGAACCAGGATCTATCCCTAATGCATGAGCTGGGGTTTGAAGCCCATTCCATATGGTGGGATGCCTTGCTCAGCCTTGATTGCTGCGGGGGTGGGTGGTGGGTGTCCTGCCTGAGCTGAGTGTGCCAGGACTTATTGACTCCTTACCCTTTCTGAGGTGTAGATGGATGGGGGCGGGGTGTTAAAAGGAGGGAAGGGGGAACTGGTTGGTATGGAAAAGGAATACAAAATATTTAAAGTGTGAATGAATTCATTTTCAAGTGACAACTATTACGTTAAAGTGCTTTTCTACAAATTCTTTAACTCTTATTTTTTTAACTTCTGAGATTATAATTTCTTTCCTTCATACCCTTCTATACTGCTCTCTGTTCTTCAAGTCTGTGGTCTCTCTTTTTACTAATTGCTATTGCATGCGTATGTATATACATAACTCTGCCTAAAGAAAACCTGTTTAGTCCATCAAGAAGGAAAGAAGAGCTGTGTGGGTTGTTTTTTTTTTTTTTTTTTTTTTTTTTTTTTTTTTTTTTGGTGTTACAGGCTTTTTAATGTGTCTCTATCTTTTTCAGTTCTGCTTGAGATTTCAAGGATTTTGAATACCGGTTTAGATATGGAAACACTGTCTATTTGTGTTCGGCTTTGTGAACAAGGAATCAATCCAGAGGCTTTGTCATCCGTTATTAAGGAGCTTCGAAAGGGGACTGAAGCGCTGAAGGTTAGATTTGCATATTAGTTTTTTCTTAATTTTTTTCTTAATTCTCACCTCATATGTCTTGATCCCCATCTCCCATCCTCTCCCATCCACCCCCTGCTCTTGCAACTGTCCCCCCAAAATAAAACAAAATAAAATGCAAGAGGAAAAAGGAAGGAAAGGGAAAATCTCATCGTGGAGGCTGCAGTGTGACAGAGTTACGCAGAAAAACACCTTTCCTTGTCCAGAGTAGATCATAGGCTCAGGCTATACTGGCATTACTCCTCCGGTCATACAGTGACAGGTACTACTACTACTATGGTTAGTAACATGCTGCCCAGGAAACCGAAGCGTATAGTAAGTAGCCCAGCTACTGGTAGTTAAGTAGTTGACCCAGAGTTATAATATGCACTGTCTGACAAAGAATATGTAAGCCAGCTTTTTAACTGTTTTCTTTTTTGAGACAGTCTCATTATGTATCCATAGATGACCCCAAACTCATGGAGATCGTCCTGCCCCTGCCTCCAGAGTGCCACCACACCTGGCAAAAAACATTTTAAACTCTGCTCTAACTCTTTTGTGTGGGAAGTCCTGAGAAGAGAAACGTTAACTCAGACTATATATTTGTGTACTGGCTATTCTAAGGAGAACAAGGCCAGTTCTTTTGACTGTTAGGAAAAAGGTTAGGCCTTTTATATTTATTATTGCATTATTTATAATATCCCAACATTTTACCATATTTTCTTGAAATATTTAGAAAAGAAATTTTAATTAGTAAGTAGAAATAGAAGTACATCATGTATTTTGCTAAGATCAAATTCATCATTTTCAGGTCTGGGCAGTGGTATACCACTTTAATCTCAGCATGTGAGGCAGAGGCAGGTGGATCTCTATGAGTTCAAGTCTATTCTGGTCTACAGAGTTTAGTTCCAGGACAGCCAGGACTACACAGAGAAACCCTGTCTCAAAAAGCAAAGCTCGTGATTTTCATATTGGCATTAAGAAATTATATAAAGTCTTTGTCCGGCTTTGTTCCTGGGTGATAGAAACAAGGTTTGTTCCCCATGGCGCTCAAGTTTGACCTTCAGTTTAAGTTGTTCCTGGCTTAGCCTCCCAAGTGCTGGGTTACTGGCAAGTGCTTATCCTTTCAAGTTGTTCCAGAAATACATATCAGATCGGTTTTTTTTTTTTTTTTTTTTTTTTTTTTTTTTGGTGAATGATCAGACACATCTGGGAGGTGAAATTACCCACTTCTAGAAAGAAACTGACTATTCTCTCTCATATGCGGAACCTACTTGTAAAACATGTGTAATGACTGTAAGGATGATTTTATACTTCAGAGAGGAGACCAGGAAAAGGTGGTGAGGAAGGACAAAATGCAGGGAAAGGGTCGTGAGTCCTGAAAGATAAGAAGCAATGTTTTTCTAGTTTTAACTCTGTCGTGCCTTTCCCCCCACCCGTGTGTGTGTGAATGTGTAAAACCCTAAATGAAGGGACATTCTAACTTGGAACTGGGAGTACAAGTGTGATGTCTTTTTTTTTTTTTTTTCTGAGTTCATTACAATAAAATGATTTTTTAACATAAATATTATCACAAGTAACACCTTTAACCAAAAAAATGAAGTAGAGAGAGAGGTTAAAAACATGTTCACTGTTCTTCTATTGCTGGTGCTCTGCCTACTTTGTAGCTTAATAAGTTTTCTCATTTTTATTTCTGTTTTTTCACTATAATAAAACAAACTAATGAAGACCTTGGAAAACAAGATTATGTGTTAACTCTTGAAGTAGTACATTTTTACATGTTCTTTATTATTTAAGATGACTTTCTGTTTGTAATCCAGCAGTGAATGCAAAGGATAATCTTGATAATACAACAAAATAAAAATAAAAATCACTGTATTTTTTTCAGTAAAAGTAATTCGGCTATGTTAGGGAACAGCTAGCTGTTTGTTCAGTATAGGCTAGAACTGACAGATTTACCTCCAAGGTGTGTCTTCACCATGGCTTCTGAAAACACGTCTTGTTCTCTTGTTCTAGGCTGCTGAAAATACAAGCTGACTTCCAGTGAAGCGCTGAGCTGATATATCAAGCTCTGCAAGAAAATTTGAAGATTGCAGTGTAGTCAAGATGTACAGTGATATTACTGCTTGCTGCATAGAAAATGTTTCCTTTTAAAAAGAATTATAAAACCATGTCTGTATAAGTCAGTGGGAAGTGGGTTAAGGCAGAACTAGCGGGCATGTTTACATCACAGCCATCTCCGTTGTTAATGGCCCCAATTCCATGGCATTGCTGGGCTCTTATTTATGTATTCCTTATTTATAGCTCTACTAGCTGTAATTTTCTAAACAGTATCTGTCAGATGTACACAGCTGCTGTGCCTGGTTAGTGGAACACATCAGAGGTGATGAATGGTAGTTATGACTTGTTGACATTTCCATTATAAGCCTTAATTTTGAATTGTTTATGCATAATAGCTGACTATGTTCCATTGGGCTGGAAGTTGATGGGATTTCAACTGCCATTTGTGAGTTTTGCCTTTTGTGTGTGTGTTTCACATTTTTTTTTTTTTTAAGAAAAAAAAAAAAAGGTCAAAAAGCATATCTTCTAATCATCTCCTTAATAGAATATTTAGTTTTTTAAGCAGGTTTTTTGGCAGTTAAAAGTATAAAGATCAATTTTTGTACTGACTAAAATTTAGAACTTTTAAAAACTTAGATTTTAAAGGTAAAATGCCAGGGCTTGGCTTAGCCTTATTCATAGTGAACTATTTAAATCTAGCTAGAGTATTTGAGAATGCTTTTCTTCCCAAATTTTATACCAAGTAAAGGCATACAAAATAATGTATAAAATAAAAACAGCAAACGTGCATAAAAATAATAGAAATTCATACTAATTAATCTTGACTGGCTATTTAATCAGTACATAGGTGTGTATTTCAACCCATTGATCCATAATATTTTCTGAAGAAGTAGGGTTTGCCACTTGTTAAAAAAAAAACTATTGAAATGTGTACTAGTAATTTTAAGTATGACTTTGCAGAAAAAATTTGTGTCATTATTTTAAAGCTTAAACTCATGAAAATGATGGTTCAAAAATAAATTTTAAAAAATTATAAAGACATTGGTTCTGTTCCTGTTAGAGAATCCCAGTGGAATAATTTTAACAAACTTAATGAGGATTTAATCTGAATTTTTTGTTTCTTAACTTTTAACTTTAGTTCTGACATTTATATGATTACAAACATTCATTCTTCTGTAGCCTTTTTTATAGTTCAGACAATCGGAAGTGGTTTTTAAAAGATTTAGTAATTAAGTAGCTAGCCTCTCTACTGCCCTAATCTCAACTCTTCCCTGCAATCAGAAGACTGGGGCAGAGGAATTAATTGCAGGCTACCTTGGGCTGCAAGGGCAACATAGCAAGACCGGACTTCAACGGACAAAATCTGGAGTTGTAGCTATTTTGACTTTTTAAAAGCATTGCATCTTTATTAAGTAAATTGAAAGGTCTGTTACAGGCAACTCTCCCAAGTTGGGAGATAGTAAGTACTTGTAAGAATCTGATTGCTGATATGCAGATACTGCATATCAAAAAGTTTTCTCAGACTCCACAATTTGTATTTACTTCTAGGACATAGAGTTGATAGTTTTATTTATGATTTTGTAGATTATTTATGTGTGAAACAAAGTAGGGAAATATATTGACAAAGGATTGTGTTTTTAGAAAATATATTGTGTCTCATGTTTATAGAGAACTTTGTGTTACATTTCCAAATGTAAACATATATTTTTAATGAGCTCATAAGTAATATTTAAGAAACCAGTGATGATAATGGCAGTATCATGCATGTTGTCAGTGACAAAAATAAAATGATTTTGGTATTGGCTTGTCCTTTTGATACAATATATGCTTCTATGAGTTCAGTGGTGTTTAAAATTAAGCTTTGGGTAGGAGTGGAATTTTTTCCTGATAGAGGAGATAATCATATTACTGGTTTGGTTTCAAAACTAAATAGACAATCCAAATAAATTTAATACTGTGCTTTTTTTTTTTCTTTTCTTTTTTTCCCCTATATCTCATACATGATAATCTTTATGTGGAAATTATTGTAAATGTTATCCGTGTTAAAGTTATTTGTTTTTCAAATATATGTGAACATTTCCCAATAATTGAATCAAATATGTTTTAAACATTTACTTAAAGACTTGATTCCTTGGTCATCTTGACCATTCTTTATTGTTGTGAAAGATAATGTAAAATTTATGATTTTTGGTGATTTAAACTGAGCAGCTTAGTGACCTGAAGAACCTGCCATTGCTTTGTAACCCTCGCCATCTTTAGAGCTTTGTCATCCATCTTCTCAGACCGAAACATGCTAGTTAGTGATTCCCCATCCCTTTCACTAACTCAGCCAATGCATTTTCTGCACTCTGTCCATGAACGTTATTCTAGCCATCTGTATAAGTTGAATCACATAACATCTGTTCATTAAGTCTCAGCATCCATTGTAATGACTGTGCTGTGTTTTCCTGTTTGTTCACAGGCCACTGGGGCTGTTGTGAGTGGTGCTGTGAACATGGTGTGCAGATATCCATTCAGCCTCTTCCTTTTAGCACTCTGGAGCACATGCATGCTCCACAATGGAAGGATGGGTTAAATAAGGGGACTGGACAGGATGTTGTGATAGCAACATAGGCCTAAGTGACATTAGAAAATACATGGAACATACAGAGTGTTACAGGGGAAATGCACTAACATGACTGGGTTTCTAAACGTAGGAAACCAAATGGAAAATCAAATTCCCTTTGAATTTACTTTAAGCAAAGATCTTAGCATATGTATTAAGCTTCATCCTTGCCAGCCCTCCCGAGACCCCTCGCTATGTCTGGTTTTACTATGCAGCATTTATGGCCATTTCCAAGTAGAGTTTTGTAACGAGTAGGTTTTTCCTCCCGCTGCTGGTCTTGACCAGCCCCAATTAACACATCGAGACTCTGTATTGGATATAATGCTGTTGGCCAGGTACTAGTTTCTTATCGGCTAGCTCTGTCTTAAGTATTAACCCATTTCTGTTAATCTAATATTTCCACGTGCTTTCATCTTACCCGGGAATGGGGCCTGGGTCTGGTCTCCCCAGCCTCTCCATGTTGACTCCTCCTTCTTCCTCTTTCTTCCTTGTCTCCTAGTCCTTCCTCTCTTGCTTTCCTATTGGCCAACAGTACTTTATTCATTAGCCAGTATGAGAAACATATTTACAGAATGACATCTCCCATCAGAGATTAGTGGTTGTTAATTGCTGTCCACTTCTATCTGAAAAGTCACACAAGGGCCGGGGTTTTTCTTGATTTTGTTCATTAATGTGGCTCTCATTTCTCAGTAAATACATGTCAGACTGAATAGATAAACTGGGCATCTAAAACTGCATTCATCCACCATATGGTTGAAAAAATTATGGGAGAGACTGGGGATCCGGTGCCCATCAATGTAGTTAACGATCTGGAAGAAGATGGTCACAGAGACAAACTTGCCTCTAAGGCCTCCCTTAATCAGCCTGCTGTGGATGATGATGGCCTCAGATTTCTGTAGCATCTCAGAAAATCAAACTACTGCCTTTTAATTAGGATAATAAAGATGCAAGCCGCACCTAGTGGTGCAAGTATACCCACCATTTGGGAGACAGAAACCAGACAATGGCCAATTCCACCTGCCTGAGCAGTTTAGCAAGGCCCTTTCTCAAGTCTTAAAAAGGAAAGAGGTGTTGGGAATTTCCATCACCCGGACTGCTTGACCCCCAAAAGAGGGAGAAAAGGAAAAGTACAAGGGAGGACAGCCTAAAACATTTGTTTGCCATAAATGTAGGTGATGAATTGACCTCTGATAACAACTAAACAAAAACAGAAAGTCAGTGTTAAGCTAATATATACACCAAGTATTTCAAGTATTAATTTTCAAAAGTCACAGCCTCAGATGGCAGCCTCAGTCTGTTAAAAACAGTGTCCATTAGAACAGAGTGGAATATTGAGGTATCTTGTGAATGGAAGTCTGGGATGCAGGTGTTGAAAGCGTTCAGGTTATCACCTGTACCAGTAAATCAATATGTGCAGTGCAGGGTTCCATCAGTCGTTACAGGGGATTTTATAATAACTATAACTTCCAAAGAGTAATACTTGAAAACTTTCACCTGTTAGATATTCTAGAGGCCTGCCTCCTACTCTCCTGTCAGAAAATGGCCTTTTTATTGTCAGAGTTGTAGTTTACACTTTAATTTGCTGAACATAATACATTGGGGGTGTTGCTGATGTTTTTGCTGGTTTTATTTTTTTTTCTCTTTTTGGGGAGCTACTATCCAGCACACAAATCACACATAGAGTCTTATATTACTTATGAATACCCAGCCTTGCTTTGGAGCCTGTCCTGGAACTAGCTCTGGAACAGGCTGGCCTCGAACTCAGAGACCCGCCTGCCTCTGCCTCTCGAGTGCTGGGATTAAAGGCATTCGCCACCAATGCCTTGCCCTGATTAACTTGTTTCTTGCCAACTTTCCTTAAATTATCCCGACTACCTTTTGCCTCTGGGCTTTTCCTGTTCTTTCTCTAAGTCTTATTCTTACTCCATGGATTGCTGTGTAGCTGGGTGGCTGGGTGATGCCCTCCTTTCCTTATTCTCTTGCTGTTTTTCTGCAGTGAATATACAAGTGCGTATGTTCTTACATTTCCTTCTCCTAGAGCATACTTGATACTTGCTATCTTTGCATCTAGTTTTGTATCAAGCCTAAATCTTTTTCTTTAGACTAAAAGGGGAATTGTAGTGAGATCCACCCTGCCTGCACCTGTAGCACTGAGCATGCCCGCTTGAGCGTGGTCACAGGTGTGGACCTGACGGAATGGGCTTTAGGTCTGAGGTTGGGACAGGTGGCTCTCTCTGGCTTCTTGTGGCCGGGTCACAGAGGACAGCCTGGGTGGATCCTTGGAGAGGGAACTTGCAGCAGTCCCCTGCTTCTTGTGTAAGTGACTTCTCCCTGAATAAAGTTCATGCAACCACTGTTGAGTCTAGTAAATCTTGATGCCCTCAGAATATTCTTCCTCAGTTCTATTTATCCTCTCTGCCTGCCAGCCCTGCCTATCCTTGCTCCTGCCTCGCTATGGGCAATTCAGCTTTTTATTAGGGCCACCAGATGTTTTAGACAGGCACAGTAACACAGCCTTACAGAGTTAAAGAAATGCATAAACAAGTGACACCTTAATATTCCATCGCACTAAGAAATCCAGTAAGATCTAATATTTAAATTAACCTGACTTAACGTAAATACCCAGTCAAACTAGTTTAAAATAGCACCCTCTTGAGTATCATACCACTCAGCAAGAAACAGCTACGTGACTACTCTGGAGTGGGACACAATTTCAGATTTCTTTAATTCCAAACTGTATTTGTTAATCAAAAGATCTGCTTTATCTCCAGGAGAAACAAAAGTAACTAACTCATTTTTGATGCGATTGTAGCACATTTTGAAAGGCAGAGAGAGTCACAACTCAGATCCCTGGCACTTGAGAAAAAGCAGGTTGGTAATACACACCTGTAACCCTGTTACTAAAGGGTAGAGATGGGCAGAACTGGGGTTGGGAGCTTGCTGACCAGCTAGTCTAACCTTAAGAGCAATTCCCAGGTTCAGTGAGAGACCACATCTCAAGAGGTACAACAGAGGAAGACACGGAATAGCGTCTTCTGCCTCCAAATAAGTAAGTACACAGGCAAGTGCACACGAACACGAGAGCAAAACGGTACCAAGTCACACTTTGCCATCAGAAGAATGAGAAGAGGATTGCACATAAATCCGTTATGGACTTGTTCCTACATTTGAAGTGTAGCGTTCCCATGCTGCCATCTTTGATGCCCCTTCTACACATCTGTAAGCCACAAGGATGGTCTCATTGAGACAGGTCTGGTTTTAGGGTCACAGAAACTGGATTCTGGGTATTCCTTCCAAATCTCTAGGATGACGGTGTTAAGACAATTAAATGGAGATAATGAGTGGATGTTAAACCCATAGCGTGCCACCCCTAACATTGTAGGAACTAAATGAATAGGAAATTGTAGGTTTTGTGTGAATAGAACTGTTGCAGCACCTCAATTTCAGGACTGCCCTAGTGATTTAATAGCATATCCAGTGTACATTCCCCTTGTGCTGTCAGACCTGTTTCCAGGAGCCCCAATTTTAAAGGATCTTTTTCAGAAACAAACAAAAGGTATGTAAATATAAGCATATGCTGTGTTTGTACAGTGAGGATTGAGACACCATACTAATAAAAATGGGAGATTAATATGTAGCTAGATTTTAGTGTCGAGGCTTGCATAGCTAATTAGAGAAAGGGACCCGTGGGGATGAGGATGTGTTGAGAGAAAAAATAACGATTATGAATAAATTTTAAGTCTCTTTTCCACATAAAAAGAACCCATTGTTCTCAGTTGCCGCCGATGGACCCAGCGGGAATATCAGTGATCTTTGTTCTTGTTGAACACGGGGAACCATCATGTAAAAGAGAAGCAAACAGCTGCTAAATGAAAGCTTCCTTGGCAGTCTAGGTATAGAGTGTTGTGCGGGAGGAGGGCAGCCATGGAGAGAGAGCTCTGTAAGGTTTCATTTAAACTCTTGGATAAGCATCTTCTCTGCCTTACCTAATAGAAACAGGAGGAGTTTTGCCAACTAAGACAAAGTTCAGAAAGCAAGAAGAGGTAGGAAGGAGCTACGGGCACACACACAAAAGTGCTTAGGAGTCTCCCAGATAACTTGGGACTGAGGTGCATTTACACCAGATTTCTTGCAATAGGAGCTCTAAGGCAAAGATGCCATGGACACAGACATCAGCCACTACCATGACTTCAGGTGATCT